TTTTTAGAATCACGTTTCTGTGGTAAGAATCTCAAGTCATCTATTGTAAGAACGTGACTATAATCAAGCTCAACACTTAGTTCTAATATACTACGTAGTTGACTGAAACAGTGTAACTATTTATTTTAAATAGCATTACATCGGCTCAACACTATAAAAAGGTCCCCTAGTCTACCTCACCTTCGTATGATAGCCATGCTTTATTGTTTCTTTGGTATGGCTAGAACAAAGTTTTATCAGGGTTTATTTGAATGAAAATGGAAAGAAGAATCGACAGACAAGGTCATTTATGCTATTGCATGTGCCAATCTCACACAAATAATTCGGCATTGAGAATTGTTAATATTATTGATGTGTAATAAACAACTTAGTGCCCTGTAGCTATTTTCAAGTAGGAATATATTCGGTGTTGCAGTTAGTTTGGGCCGGGTTGTGTAGTTTCCAAGTCTTTATAGCAATTCGCTAAAAGGATATGTAGTATTAGTAACTGCTGTTGATGCAATCAAGTCGAAATCAGATTTTCAGTTCTACAAACCACTGGGCTTATTGTAGCCAAAATTAGCTTCCTAACTTCTGGGAACTAAATTATTCTTATTTTAAGAACTAGTGATATATTATTAACATTAAATTCTTTAAATTGTCCGATTCTACGTCGAAAAGGCTAACATATTTCAGATCTTTTGTTTTTTATATGCATTTACATCCCTGTCGTTATTCATCATGTAGTCACACAAGACCATCAAACACAAAACAACACTACGATTTTAATAAACAATCAGACTTGACAGAAGTATCAGCTTTACCACTTTTCCCAGTATCCTTTCGGGTTTAGATCTAATTGGTTCCGTAGGTATTATATTTTAGATTGCACTTTCGAAATACTTGGAGAATAGTAACTCAACTTCATAAAAAAAACAAAATCCATGACCCTTACATCCCTGAGGTATGCTCATGAAAACTTAACTTATATCTCGGTTTCTTTAAGAATGCCTATACAGTCAACACATAATTTTATTATCAGTATCTGTTGAGATTTTACTGCGAACGAAAATCCATTCTATTTTGGCAGATTATTCTGCCATTATAAGGACGTAAGAATCCTCAGTCAATGCTGGAATTTTTCGTTGCATTTCAAAGAGTGAATTTAAAAATTAATTTCTAGCAATCATGTATCTTAATACATCGAAAATCTTGATTCGTTTTACTGCACAGCTTTTGAATCAACAATAACTTGAAGTTGAGAACACTAAATAAAATGAAGACCAGGCCCTAGTTTGGTCATAATGTTTAGGCTGTTAACCTTAATCACAAAAATGTTATTGATACCGGCAAAGCCTTCTAACCAAGTTCATTAGAATTACAAGTCACCTACAAAATATGTGCACTCATTCTTAATATAGAAGCAATAAGAATCAGAACAAACCAAAAAAATTTGACCATTAGGTGTTCAGACAAATTTTAGCCTTTGTAAGCTAATATTTATTTCTAAACCCATAGCGGTTGACAGGTGACCGAAATATTTGAGAAGTGAAGTGTGTAGCATTCTCATGTGAAACAAAATCACTAAGTTTAATAACATCAGACCAAGATTATATTGATAGACACAAAGAATTCATAATCGTTGTTATCCTAGATCATCCTAAATCTCGTCGGTCATTGGATGCGGTGTTCTTACAATGGAAAATGAACACGTAATCACCATTTTGTATCCTACTAACTATAACCAGTCTAATGATATTGTTTTCCAAGGTCATACGGATTCAGTAACAAGCTTAAGTTACAACGACCAACTTGAACATGTCGTCTCAGTGAGTTGCGACCAAACACTGCGCGTATGGTCTCTCAAAACGAGGGAACAAATAGGTATCACATCAAAACATGCTACACAACTCAACAGCGTAAACATAGACAGTCATGGGTTAAAGTAAGATTATGTTTATGTTAATTAATCTACTACAGTATTATATCAAGTGGGATGGATTTTAGAACCTGTTTGTTTGATTATGAAACTTTAAAACTCAAGGTAAAAGTAGATTTTTCACTACGTAACCCAGTTGGTTCTACTAAACGGAGGTGCAGTTACTGATCATTCAATCACCAAGGATGGTAATTGTTTGGTATGTGTTACCGATATCAGCTGTCAAATGAACTTATGGGATTTAAGATGGCGAAAGAAAGTTTTTTCGATTCCAGGTGAAATCATTCATATCTGATAAGATTAATTTGGCTTTAAGATATTCACGAAAATACACCAACATGTTGTCTGTTTACTCCGAATGAAAATTGTGTAATTACAACATCAACAGATGGATCTGCAAAATGCACAGACTTGCGATCTCTCAGAACATTACTGACCTTGCGGTTAGATTTGTGGAATTTATAAATTAAATTATCTTTAGTGATCATAGGAATGCTGTATCATCGGCAGCCATCGCTAGAGACGAAAAGTTGCTGGTAACAACATCATGGGACAAAGCGGTTCATCTATACGACATTGAGACTGGAAACTACAGGAGAGAGGGACCACAGATTTTAGCTGATGGTCACACTGGTTCGATAAGTAGCTGTGACATAGACGATAATGGTGAGGACCAAGTTTCATCCATAATGTTACTTAGGGATCTATCTGGCGACTGGAGGTCACGACAAGTGTGTTATATTATGGGATACTGAGAAAAAAGAAGTCAAGCTGTGTCTCAAGGTATTACCATGTACTATTTATAGAATATTTTAAACAGAGACATACAGATTGGATTAATGACGTACACATGACAAAAGATGGGAAGTGGATTCTAACAGCATCGAAAGTAGATCCTATTATCAATACCAACGTTTTAGGACAGACTGATAAGGTCATGGAATATGGAAGTGATTGAGAGGTTGCCATTTAGTTACTTACCTGGCAATGAGCAAACTGTTCTTACTTTAAAGGTAAGTATAGTAAGATTACAATTGTAACGAAGGTGTGTCATTTTTATTAATAGGTGGACTTTTTTCGGAAGTAATTTGACTGATACATTTTTACTACACGATGTCTCAGAAAATGAGTTCTCATATTCAATATCATGACATACATATTGTGTACACACTGTCCCAATTTACGGACGAAGAAATTACAAAGTGAATGACTGGCGCTGGGCAGGATAAGTGAACATAGATCACATTTTCAAAAGTCAAAAAACCAAATGTATATCGATACTGTGACAGACTCACCGTATCTATCAAAAACCATTGTGCTTGGAAGAAAAACATCAGTACATTTGTCTAGGATTCTACCACAGGACTATAAAGTCATATAAATCTAAAACTGACAGTTGAGCCACACGGGTTTTGACTGTATACCTTAGTTTCGTTGTCAGGTTGTCTTTAGTGCATTCTGGTTGATATGAAGGATAGTGCCCAACAAGAGAAAGTCAGGATAAAAATATCACGAAGAAACCCCTCAATACCAAGTAATTGCAAAAGAAACGGAACAGACGAGCTGCGAAAGTTTAGTTCCTAGGAAGTCATTCTAAATGGATGAATAGCATTACTGTCCTCTAGATCTAACGTGGTTCTCGAAGTTATAATAGCGAGGATGCAGAAAACGTCGAGTCATCATTACGGTGTGCAAACGCTACAACTTCAAGTTGTGACGTCTACGATACTTCCCGTCCCGACCGAACTTCTCAACCGCATGTAATAAAAATCAATAACCACCACTTAGTGTTGCCTCTTACGTCTGATAAAGAGGAAAGCTCGAGAAATGAACAATTGACCTCCAGGATGGTTTCCTTGTAACACTTCTTACAGAAACAGGAAGCAACAAATCCTTAAGTTTTGGCATAAAGACTTCCTGAAGAAATACACTAATTCAACATTGGGCTTAACAGATAAATTACTGGTTAGCGCAGTTTGTTCACAAGACCATCTAATGTCATCGAATTATCTGAAATTGTGACCTAAACAAAACACTTAATAGTGTTTTCGGAAAAAACCAGAAACATTTGGCGACAAGTAGATGTACGATTTGCATTTATTTTTACTATACAGTGAAATAGATGTCGAAAAACGGCTAACACTGCACATTTGGTTCCAGCTTTTGTAAGGGAATAAAATTAGGATGACAGATTACCACATTTAGGGATGAAACCATATTAAATCGAGACGAAAGCTACTATGAATTATTTGACCACTAAAGCGGGTTACTTCCTGATATACAATCCGAATTGTTTAATAGTTATCGCAAACCAAACGACAAAGTATCAACATATAAGGATATCATTCCTATATCAGGACCACTTTATAATGGTACGGATGATTAGTTTTAATCATGAAGACTTAAATAATTTTAAAAAAAAACTAAGTCATAACATTTCTTCATTTCAGTGCCCCAACTGTGAAAAAAACTTTATCCAGACAGTAACAAGTGACTGGAGAAGGAGACCCAAGTGCTTATTTTGTGACCTCGATGCGAAAACAAACAATTAAAAGATATGCGACTAAGACGATATCAGCGCAATGAAAAGTCAACGACAAAATAACAATAAAAGATTTCATGTCTAAGTGTTTTTTATATTTGTTTTTTTCAAATCTTATAAAGCAAACAGTCAAATAATATATGTACAAAAATTTACGAGCCCACACTGAGTAAAAACGTTCAAAAAGCACGGATTGGGCTTTCGATATGTGTGTATTTGCAATCAGGGGAAAAGTGGTCCACCAATTTAAAGTACCAAAAACCACTTAGACTAGATGGGTAGTTATGTCCGGTACACAAACAAGTGACTGAATTATTGTCGAGATACCAGACCGAGCTGAACGTAATTCAGTTCCGAACAGCGGAAAACCGTACTATTGACGAGTTAAATAAATGCTGCATGGTATCTGCATGATTGTTGAACCAAAGGAAATTTGGATACATCAAAATTAGTCACACTTTGAAAGAAGCAAGTAGAACAGGTCAGTTTATCTCATAGAAAGGCACCATAAATAAAGATTTATCAACGGGATCACACGTATCACCAAGGCTCGGGCATTGTAGTTAGTTCACTCAACTCCTGATCGGAACAAGAAGGGAAGAAATGACGCTTGTAACCAATCATATCAACCCAAGGGAGTATATGTAAATACTGATCATCTAGGATGATTGAGTGTAAATTAGTGGGAGAAATACAAGCATATTCAGTTTCTGCACCTACTGTACACTTTTTGGGAGAGCTATATTCTGAAATTTCCATAGAACTGTTATCACAGACAGTTACATAACTGCGATCAAGGCTATGCCAGTCAATGTTTTCCGGCAAACATGGTAGGTCAGGCCAATCGTTCATAAAATTAGTCACAGGGGGGAAAACCGTTTTGTTTTTACGATGGCTTTTTAGTTGGTTGGAATGTAGTCTGGAAGGACCTAATATTTCAGCTTCATCCTTGTGATGTTTATGCTTCTTTTTCTTTTTAACTTTCTGGGCGATTGACGCAGTGTCGTTCCCAACATCTTTGAATAATAGTCGATTGGATATATTTTCACTATTATAGCTTATAGGACTTTGATTATTGATAGATGAAACGTTTACAAAAGGTATAACACTTTTAACCGAATCAGAAGTTAGGTTGTGATCTTTTTCGTATACAGCAGGACTTTCTCGACACTCCAAGGGTATTTCCGACTTTAATTCTAAAATTGTATTACATTTAGGAGAATGCGAAGTTTCATTATTATTGGCAGAGACACAGCGTGAACTTGACTGAGAGCCAGAGTTTGCACGAGCCAGTCGTGTTTTTGTGGGTTGCATCATTGAACATACTCGAGGAGGGTCAACTTCTTTGCTGATTCTGTTTGTAAGAATGCGGTCAGCAGTTACGGAATCAATACAATCTCCTGCAGCTTGGACCAGTTCTGCAGTTGATTTCACTTTCGTCAAACGCATGGAATTCGCTACTCGGAGCTTCGATGAAGGAGATCGAGATGCTGTTGAAATAATTGTTTGAGGTACTGAAGTATCTAAATTTTCTCTAAACCCGGTATTCTGAGGTTGTGATTCCATACATTTACTACCATTCACAAGGTTACTCGGACTTTTGACCTGAACGACTGTTGATGTTGTGTCTACGCACTTCAGACGTTTAGAAATATTTGAAACATAGTTATCGTTTTGGTGTGTTAGATGCACAGCAGATTTTTGTGAATCATCTTTGTTGAGTTTTTCTGAGGGAGAATCGGGGAAATTTCTCTTTGTGAGATGTACGGAGCTTTTTATCTGAGGAGGGTATATTGCATTTACAGTGTCTGCTGGTTGCTTGGATCTTTCACGAGCAGATATTTTAATTGGTGTGCCATTCGACCTAGGTGACGTAGGTATATTTTTGTCCGAAGTCTTCAAAGGAATGACATACTGATGTGAATATTCAGAGGATAGTAGCTTTTGCCATGCTTTGATAATAAGTCGAATGCGTTTTTGAAGAGGTGGATCAACCTTGTGACGAATGGTTTGTAACAATTGACCAATCCTAGTATCCTGTAACTGAATCATAGTCATCGGGAAGTTCTCCAGATGACCGATGACGTCACACACTGCATTCAAATCTGTTACCTACAAAGTAGAATGAATAAGAAGTTCCCAAAGTTAAGAAAGCACATTTTTCAAATGAAATAACAGATGGATATTTTGATTTGAATAGACACTTGAGTTGTATCTATAATTTCGAATTAAATAGTCAGGCAGCGCAGAACCTGGAACATACTGCATCACCCTAAGTTTCCATATCACAACAGCACAGTGAGACGAAATTAATATAATAGAAGTATGAGCTGGAGTAAAAAAGACATGATAAAAAGAAAATGGTTTGGGGAAAAACGGATCCACAGGAAAAAAAGAATCAAATAATTTGAAACTTAAAATCAACTGACTGCACATTTAGTGACTTCATGGTCATGTGGTAAGTGAAACTGGAGGAGCTATGTTACGGCCTAATCTAATGCTTAAATCTAGTTCATATGTACAGAAAGTTTACAAATGACAATTCTAAACAAATGGCTGGTAGTGCGGATATATACAGAACAGCCGCTGCATCCTCTCCGGAATTGATAGTGCTCAAGGAACTTACACCAAATGACTAGGAAAATTCAACTAGATCAACATCTGCTCGGAAACTCACCTAGGCAGGTTGAGAGGACGATAGGCAGTGATGACAACCTTGACGTAGACCAAAAAGGTTTACGCGATAATCACGAGTAATGGTGGGCAGCGAAAGTAACGACATGCAACACAAGACAACTATTTTGATTCATCAAAGAGTCAGGAATGTGATCCTCTTAAAGTTCAAGAGATTAAAACAATATGTGGAGGGCTTTCAGAAACAGTTTAATAGGTACCTACTATTTTCTAATTACCAAGGTGGAAACCCAACAAGTTTCCTAAATCTCAGCGAAATTAAAACAGTCCTATCTAACTCAAACAGATGGGAATCAACAGAACTTGGTATCTTAACTACGGGTATTTAAAGATGATGGTCTAATTTTAGAAATTATTCTGACGGAGATACTAGCTAGAAATCCTTATAGGATAACAACATGACATATTGTACTATAATAACGTCTGATATACTAGATTTGATAATCATTCAACGCTTATCTGGAGCCAGGCTGGTGGCTTACTAGACAGAGTTAACCTACTGACCTGGGCCAGTCAGCTACAACGTAGGACCAGGCACATACATGCATCGGTCCAAGTTGCCATACCTTATTAGCACAGTACGATAAATTCATAGAAGCAGTTACTTTAGTGGTGGTAATATATAAAGAAATATTGTATATAAGGATATAATACAGGAAGAAAAGTGTAAAGTAATTTTGATCTCACAGGTTAAGGGAAGACAAAGATTGTATACACCCACACCAATGTGATCTATTCTGAGCCATGTGACCTGGGTCATTTAGCACAGCTTTAATGTTGTTTAGACAATCAAATGCCAATTGTTCAATGAATTAGTACGAATAGTCAAGTTTTATGCCAATAGAAGTCCAATGACCCTTTGGAAAATGGCTTTCATCTTGTGGCAACAGCGAAGTCTGACAGTCAATATTTAGGTAGAGCAGGCATTCAGACAGTCAGTCAGTTACAACGTAGAACTTAGTACGTACGTACATCAGTTCGAGTTGCCATACCACATTAGCACAGAGATGCAGTGGTCGATTCAAATCCCGTAGTGGTAGAGGTAGCAAGAGTATAAGCAGTAATCGGGAAGATTAGGGTTTGGAGATGTTATTTAACGAGTATAATCCAGTGAAATAAATTTGGAAAGAGGAAAAAAAGGGACATGAAGAATTCAGAAGATTAGAATTTGGGAGAACATAGAGAGTGGATGCACCTGCGCCATTGCAAACGATTTTGAGCCATGTCATTCAGGGTCTCTAACCATCGGTTGCTATCATCTCGCGGTCCCCAACCAGGTAGTTTACACCTACCAACATGACTCAGTCCACTTGTCAGTGACTTCATGGATTTGTGCCATGTTTTGGTTTGGCCGCCACTAGCTTTCTTCCAACCTACTCCTATACCACTGAATATAGCACGTCGAGGTAGTCGGTCGTTCGGCATACGTAACACGTGTCCCAGCCATCTCAACTGATGAAGTTTCACTACTTCATCAATTGATTTGACATCCTTACCTAGTACCCGTTTCCTAACAGCTGCGTTACTTACTCGGTGGTCCCAGGATATACGAGCAATACTTCGAAGACACCTATGATCAAATACTTGTAACCTACGAATATCCTCTACTCTTACCGGCCATGTTTCACTGCCATAAAGTAGGACGGAACGAACTGCTGCGCAGTAAACACGTCCTTTGGTTGGTAGACGGATATCTCGCCTACGCCATAAATGACGCAAGTTGGCAAAAGCTAGTCGAGCCTTCTGTATCCGTGCTGAGATTTCGTCAAACACCAAACCACAAGGGCTGATGAGACTTCCAAGATAAGTGAAGTGGTCGACACACTCGACTACTTCACTCCCTATCACTAGTTCGGGTGTCGATGCAGGCATTATAACCCAATGTGTGTTATTAGCCTGTATTAAAATCAAATGAGTTAAGAGATGTTTAAGTCTATGATGGATCTCAAAGGAATGAAGTCCTGGATGAGGATCAATTATTTTGTAACGACTACCTACAAAGACTCCACAATTCTGCAAAGCAGTGACTTGACACGTTATTAAAGTTAGCTCAAAATAAAAACTCAACAATCTTTTTTTGTATGCCTCAATGAATGTAAATCATGACTAGTCGAAATCTGTTACGCAGTATATTAGTTCCCTTACTTAAGGTACATTTATCTCGCATAAATCGTATGTAGTGAGTTAACAAGAACCAGGAGAATATTGTATCCTTAGCGAAATTTCGCCAAGTACAAACACGCTGCGATCGATCAGACTTCTAAGATAAGTTAGGTAGGCAACACACTTCATACCTCCGCGACACAAGTATTTCGTCAGCTTCGACACAACAATTACGTAATTTGAGTACCACAAACTGATAAGGAAAACTCCTGGTAGATCAGGTCCTGGAATAACAGACGAAGAAAGTGCCATTGCTGAAGATTTGTCTGCAACAAAATTGAATTGAAGAAAGTTTGCACACCTGACGAACATTTAATGTAGCTATTTTAGAAAGTAGGTCACCGTGGACCTTAAGCAGATTTCACGAACAACTGAGGTCACACTTAGATGGTTCTGGAAACGAGGCTGACCCATATATTTCTTGGAAACAGCAACGACATCTATTAATGATTTGAATCAAAGAGTCACAAAAAACCAATGGTTTTCTGAGACATCTACTGCACTGATACTCTTATAAACTTATCCCATCAGCTACGAACACGATAATGAACAAAAACAGATAAGACCTATGTTAACCAAAAGTTTAAGGAACGACAGTCAGCAGTGGTAGGCAACGAAAGTCAAAGAGATGGGAAAAGCAACGGCTCTAGGTAACACAAAACAGCTTTATAGATTAACAAAAGAAACTGGAATTAGGGAATCAAGTGTGAGACAATCTCAGAAAAAAATGACACTTATCTGTTCTCTGTCTAGAAACCCAGAGCGATGGGTGGAACATTGACTTAAATAAACACTGAAAATGATTAAACATCAAAACCCTATAACTACTCTGAAACGAGGAAGAACAGCTGGTCCAGGTTGATGGTCAGGTGTTAAAGATTAGGTTTAATAAAATAGCATCTATAATACTAGCTTCAATATTTGTCGGGTGCCTAACAAAGACTTGTGAACTGCAAACACGAGAGAACCAGACAGACTGCATCGACCACATATTCACCACTCGTCAGGTTCTAGAACACAGGCGTGCTTATGGGCGTCCAGCAATAGTGGTCTTTCTTGACCTAAAAGCAGAATTTGACTCTGTAGACCGAGAGGTTCTATGGCAGTGTCTGCCATCGAAAGGCGTATCTCAGAAGTACATAAACCTTGTGAAGGCTCTTTACTCGAACACTACTAGTCGAGTCAGAACTTATGACGAACTGTCATCTGATTTTGCAACCTCAAGTGACGTCCGACAAGGCTGTCCACTTTCCCCACTTTTGTTTAACTTTATTATAAACTTACTGATGTAAACAATGCTCTCGTCGACTGAATTCTCGGGCATTGATCTCCTACCAGGAGGTCCACTTATCGACTTAGAATATGAAGATGATATAATCCTGTTTGGTGAAGACTCTAAAATGCAGTCTTTTGATAGCACTGAGCAACAATGCCAGTATGTTAGGGATGCCCTTCCCCTCTTTTTAAATGCAAATTGTTGCTTCAGAACTGACCTGCGTCAACACCTGAACTTCACGGCTGCGATCAAGAGTAGAAGATACTCACAAGTTACTAGTATTTGATCACAGATGTCTTAGAAATATTGCCAGCATCTGCTGGGATCACTGGATAAGTAATAGTGAGGTTAGACGGAAAGTACTAGGGAATGATGGTAATTTAGTTGGTGAGGTTGTGAATCTACATCGACTGAGATGGTTGGATGACGTATTGTACATGTCCAACCACCGACTACCACGACGCGCAGAGCTGGCTAGTGTTGAACGAAGATTGAAGAGTTATGGGCAGCCAAACGACGTTATATGTCACATCTATTGAATAATCTAAGTCTCGAAAATAATCCAGGCGAGTTGTATATGGCTTAACATCGATTACCACGAAGCGCAATGCTGACTAGTGTTGAAGGAAGATGGAAGAAAGTTATGGGCAGCCAAACGAAAAAGTGGCATCAGTCATTGAAGTCACTAACTTCTCGTCTTAGCCATGTTGGTAGATGCATACTACTTGGTTGGTGTCCACATGACTGTTGTAACCAATGGTTGGAGACTCTGGGTGACATGGCTCAGAATCTATCACAATGGCGTCGATGCATACACTCATCGTCTTTCCTTAAACCATAAGATTAAAATCGCTTTATATCCTTCTTTCTATGAACTGTTTCTTTCTTTCTGTACTAAGTCATTATACACGATCTTTCTTTTATA